ACTATGAGTCATAAACAATGCAATGGCAGTGAGCGTGTTTTTACTTATCTTGATGGATTTGTCTTAAGGATGCATCAGAATCAGAAGGACTTATTATGAAGAAGTTTTTAGAAACTTGAGAACTGTAGTTGAGAGATAAAGGCTAGGAAAGTTGCACCAAGGAATTTGGGGGCAAAGCTACATCCCATCCACCCTTCAGTCCATATTTTGCTCCTTAAGACTTTGTTTTGTTCCCCAAAGAACACAGAAAGAAATAGGATTTGAGTCCCAGATGGTTGTGAAAACTGGTATTTGGACATGGTTTAAATGAAAGAGCGTGGCCTTCTTCAGGGAAGGGTTCACTACCACCCAGACCATTCCAACTCATAGTAACCCCAGGGGACCAGGTAGAACTGCCCCTATGGGTTTCTGAGATCGTAACTCTTTAAGGGAGTAGAAAGCCTCCCATTTCTCCTACTGAGTGGCTGGGGGTTTTGAACTTCTAACTTTGACCAATGCCTAACCACTATGGCACCAGGGAAAGCCTGGAGAGATGAAAACACCATTTTCAGAATGTTTTAACCTAGATGGATGATGTGTTTATAAACAATAGCATCTTCATATTTTTATGAAAGGTTTCTATTATTTTCTAGTAATATTTTTATCTTAACTCTGTGTATGTGTAGCACACATGTGTATGTTCACATGCATAACCAGTTGTCATTGAATTTATTACACATAAAAGCAGCTCATGTGTATTAAAATAAAACAGTACTCCATTGGATTGAGTTTTAAGCAGATTATCAGGAATTAGAATTCAGAAGGCCAAGCTGCAGGTTAGAAGCTCAGGTAAGTATTTTATTTTACACACTTGAGGCAGGATATGTTCCCCCCGCCCACCCCCCCAGGAACTCTCAGTGTTTATTCTTAAGGCCCTTAACTGACTGCATGAGGCTCACTGACATTATGATAGGTAACCCCCTTTAATTAGAGTCAACTGAGTGAAAATTTTAATCTACCAAAGACTTTCACAGAAACTTCTAGATTAGTGTTTGACCTGACAGCAAGGCACCATTTCTTGCTCAAGTCAACAGATAAAAATAATGATTATAAGTGAGATTCCAGCAATCCAGAGTCCAATTATGTTTTATATTTTTGTTTTACCATAAAAGTCATATTAGTAATAGGTACAACTGTTTTCTTAAACTTAAAGTAGACATTAAATGGGAACTATCCTATCCTATGAAAATTGAGGGGAACAAGCATGCTCAAGTCCTGCAGTGGAGTGTAAATTACCACCAGCTTTTGGATTGCTAAATTTAAGGAGTAACTTCACATGATCCTTTAAAATAGATTCTTACTAAACTTGACAAACATTTTGTTAAACGCTCCAGATCTGAGGTGCCCAAATCTCTTAATTTAAAAGGCAGAGAAAAATAATAGAACAGGAAAAGTCATTGTTTCCATGGAGTGTTCAACGCAGATCATTTCCACATTCCTAACACTTTCCCCATAACATTCAGTGGCAAGATGAGGCAAGGAAGTTAAGGCAGTAAGCGGTGGAGTGGGGCAAGGAGGGTCTTTCTTCTGCTGAATCAGTTCTGAGTAAAAGTCAGCATATAAATGGACTTGGCGGTATAAGCAATGGGGTGATCACTGTGTTGTGTGTGGCTAAGCTGTAAGGAGGTCTTTGCTTTGGAAGACTGGTGAGAACCAGGCTCAGCCGGGGATAGGGAGAGAGAGTACACATTTGGAGGAGAGGGAAGGCGGGACTTTGTCATGCAGAGAATTCCCCTGTCTGAAGCTAGCTTTAGGCATTTACGAGGAAATGACAACAGAATGAGAAATAAACAAAAAGACGATGGGGTGTTTCTACTCTACAAAGTTTAATGTACAGTCTCTGGCTTTCTGAGTCTAGCCTTGTACTGCCTTTGGAATAGTTTCCATCTCTGTAAGTTTTTGACAACTTGGAGAATTGAAAAATTATTCCCATCCATATGCATCAAATTTAAAATCTATCCATAGATATCCAATTGATATATCTTTCCTACTATAGAAGGCAATTTTTCTTCATTTTCATATTCATTTCATTACGCCAGAGGAGTAAATGTCCATTCTTTGAGATTCTTCTTCAAACCAGCTGCAACTTCTATCTATTTTCTTCACTAGTAGTGGGTGAACAAATCATTAGCATGTGTTCACTGAACTTTTTAATGAGACCAACAATTTTACTTCTTTTTTATTTGTTTGTTTGTTTGTTTGGGGTTTTAAAAATCATTTTATTGGTGCTCGTACAACTCTTTTCACAATCCATACATGCATCCATTGCGTCAGCATATTTGTACATTTGTTGCCATCATCATTCTCAAAACATTTTCTTTCTACTTGAACCCTTGGTATCAGCTCCTCATTCCCCTCCACTCCCCCTACCACATGAACCCTTCATAATTTCTAAATTATGATCATTTTGTCACGTCTTACACAGTCCAATGTCTCCCTTCACCCACTTTTCTGTTGTTTGTCCCTCAGGGAGAGGGTTATATGTAGATCCTTGTGATAGGTTCCCTTTTTATACCCCACCTTCCCTCCACCCTCCACCACTGATCCTGAGGGGTTCATCTGTCCTGAATTCCCTGTGTTTCCAATTCCTATCTGTACCACTGTACATCCTCTGGTCTAGCCAGATTTTTAAGGTAGAACTGGGATCATGATAGTGGGGAGAGGAAACATTTAAGAACTAGAGTAAAGTTGTATGTTTCATCGTTGCTACACTGCACCCCGACTGGCTCTTCTTCTTCCCACAACCTTTCTGTTAGAAGATGTCCAGTTGCCTACAGATGGACTTTGAGTCCCTGCTCGGCACTCCCCCTCATTTACAATGATATGATTTTTTGTGTTTTGATGCCTGATATATGATCCCTTCGATACCTTGTGATCACAAGGGCTGGTATGCTTTTTCCATGTGGACTTTGTTGCTTCTGAGCTAGATGGCCTCTTGTTTACCTTCAAGCCTTTAAGACCCCAGACACAATATCTTTTGATAACCAGGCACCATCAGCTTTCTTCCACCACATTTGCTTATGCACACATTTGTCTTCAGCGATCATGTCAGGAAGGTGAACATCATGGAATGCCAGTGTAATAAAACAAAGTGTTCTTGCATTGAGGAAGTACTTGAGTGGAGACCCAATGTCCATCTGCTACCTTAATACTAAACCTATAAATATATGCACATAGATCTATTTCCCCATCATCATATATAAATATATTTACATAGGTACATGCCTGTATTTAGACCTCTGTAAATGCCCTTTGCCTCCTAGTTCTTTCATCTATTTCCTTTTACTTTCCTCTTGTGCCACTATCATGTTCAGCCTTCATTTGGGTTTTAGTAATTCCTCTCGGTTACATTGCCCTTAATCAAGCTCTACCAGGCTTCTTACACCCTCCTCACCATTGATTTTGGATCACTTGTTGTTCTCTTGTCCCTGGGTTTGTTAACACCACTTCCTTGCAATTTTACCTTCTTTTGAAAACTGTTATTTAAGGAAGTGGAAGAGGTGAGCAAGCATCTGACTGTAAAAATGACTGCTCTTAAAACCCTGAAGCTACTCTATGTGGATATGTAACATAATTTTAACCCACAGTTTTTTATATAGCTGTCTTTACTTGTTATGAATAAATATAAGGCTACAGCAATATGTAGTGATTATTATCTTTAATATAATATTCATGTTTTCAAACTATCCTATGTGAGGGGACTTTAAAAAGCTAATAGAAAATGCAATTAAAAGATAATGATATTTTCCCATCAACTCTTGAGTTTAATAGAGAAGACTCAAATTATGTTTACCTCCCAGACCACTTTCTGTTACATGTTCCAAAATCCACAAAAACTCATGTAGGAAGTGAGGTGAAGAGGCATTAAGGTATGGTACAACAGTCATTTCAGCAAGAATATATGTGCGTGTGTATGTCCCTTATAGAGGAAATATCCTAGGGAACAGGAAAACTTATAGGCTTGTCTCTACCTCCTGCCTCTTCCCTCAAGATTTGTCCTGCCCCCTGATTTCCTGCAGGGTGGGGAGCAGGAGGGGTCCCTGGTGCTCACTATTGGGGTGGCCTAATGGATTCTTACTGAAGAATGGAAGGGTGCTGGGCTCTGTGTTGAAATTTCAAAAAAGACAGACATAGTCTCTATTAATTACCTATTACTACTAGAACAAGTGATCAGAGGTTTGACAGCTTAAAATAACATAAATGTATGTTCTTGCAGTTCTGGAAGTCTGGAGATTGAAATGAGTCCTCAAGATTTTAAATCAAGGTGGTAACAAGGCTGGGTCCTTCTGGATAAAGTATAAGACAAACCATTTCCATGTCTTTGCTAGCTTCTGAATCTTGAGGCAAATCACATTTCTTGGCTTCTGACTGCTTCCTTTATATTCAGCGTGCCTTACTCAAACCTCTGCTTCCATTACTCTACTACTTTCTTCTCCCTGTGATCTTCTTTCCTCCCTTTAAAGAAAAAATATCCTCTGATTATACGGAGCCCAGGAGACTCTTCCCACATCAAGATTCTTAACATAATCACACCAGCAAAGTTCCTTTAGCCATGTAAGGTCATATCTTTAAAGGTTCTGGTGATTGAGTCTTGGAAATCATTGGCAGTTTTTGTTCTATCTACCATAGTGAGACAATGTCTCTTCTATAGAAGTAAAAATTAAACTTACCAGGACAATTAATTATTCATAGTAATATAAATAAATGTGATAAAAAAAAGACCTAGACCATTGATACCAATGCATTTCCCATGTTGACCTTATATTGATATGTTGCTACTTCATTCACCTGAACTCCATATTCTATTTCCTTTTCCCAGACTTCCCACAGTTAACTGCCATGGATCAGTTCATCTTATCCTTCATAACAAAAAATAATTTTCAGCAGTTGTCGTCAGAATTTTTATCTTACTATTTCACCATAATCAGTAAGGCAGGAGGAATCCTCTCTCAAGAAACCCTCAGTGATATTCAAGCAGCCCTTCAGAAAGGGAACCTAGAAGATATTGTGAAAAAGATTCAGGGAGCACTTGTGCAAGCAGAGAATGCTCCCCTGGATGTGGCTGTGACCGGGCAATCTGGGACTGGGAAGTCCAGTTTCATCAATGCCCTGCGAGGGCTGAGTCATGAAGAAGAGGGCACTGCCTTAGTGGGGATTGTGGAGACTACCATGGAAAAAACTCCCTATCAACATCCAAAATACCCCAAAGTGACCTTCTGGGACCTGCCTGGAACTGGGACCCCCAATTTCTGTGCAGACACTTATCTAGAAAAAATGGGATTTACTAACTATGACTTCTTCATCATCATTTCTTCTACTCGTTTCACCTACAATGATGCCCTGCTGGCCCAGAAAATCAAGAGCATGGGGAAAAATTTCTATTTTGTCAGAACAAAGGTGGACAATGATTTATATAATGAAAAGATAAGCAAACCCACGTCCTTCAATGAGAAGAAAGTCCTTCAACAGATCCGAGACAACTGCCTGGCCAGTCTCCAATGCATTGGAGTGCCTGACCCACATATCTTCTTGATCTCCAATTTTGACCTGGCTGACTTTGATTTCCAAAAACTAGAGGAGACACTGTTGAAGGAGCTTCCTGCTCACAAGCGCCACACCTTTATGCTCTTGGTTCCCTGTTTGTCTGATGCTGCCATTGAGATGAAGAGAGATTTCCTCAAGGAGAAGATCTGGCTGGATGCTCTGAAGTCATCAGCTTTGGCCTTCATCCCTTTCATGCCATACATCAGTGGTTTCGATTTACCTGAACAGGAGAAATGCTTGAATCTTTACCGAAGCCATTTTGGTCTGGGTGATGAGGCCATCAAGAATGTTGCACAGGACTTGGGGACATCTGTGCAAGAACTTAGTACCTCCATGAAGTCATTGAATTTTTGGCTACTTGTGAAGGAAGATGATACAGTAGGAAAGTTGAAGGCATGTCTTGAATCTTTCAGCTCAGTGAAAGGAGGTCTCTTATCTTTGGTCTTACAGTTTTTAAAAGCCTACCATCTTCGTATGAAATTCCTCGACACCGTAGCTGATGATGCCAAAGTTATTTTGCACAAGATTTTGAAGAGATAAATTCTAAGAGAATGAAATAGAGGTGGGGTGTCTTACCTCACTGAAGTGCAAATGAGTCCCAGGTCCTTCTGTCTATGAATGGGGCTGAGAGTGGGAATCTCATTCCTCTCAATTTCTCATAAAGTGAGGGGCTGGGGGAAAGTCTTTTCAGAGAGGTTATGGCATTGATTCACGCTGATGTCTTCTTGTTGTGTCTGGGTGATTTGACCATGGTCTCTGTGTTGCTTGAATTACCAAAGATATGCACCACATAGTTTCCATCAATCTCAATGAACTATTAAGTAGACTATAGGTATTATTCACTCAGAAAATAATTATTCTGAAACAATTAAATTGACTGTTATCCATTGACATTTTCCCAGTCATTTTGAAAACGTCAACAAGCAAGTTATTTGCCTGTTAATTTGATAATATTTTGTTTTATAAAATCTATAGTTTTAATACCCATATCACCCCATCTATACTACTCATCTTCTTTTTCTTTAATGGCGTGCCTATCTAAATATTTAAATTGAATCTTACAATATTTGTTATGTTGTATATTGCTTGTTTCATCTACCATAACATTTGAAATATACATATATATATCATGATATGAACTAGAGCTTTGTTTCTCTTTATACATTAAATAATCCATTGTATATTAATAAAAATAAAGCATTTGATTTAGTCATTCATCTGTGAGTAAACACTTGAGTTGTTTCCATCATTTATCTATAGTAAACAATATTTCAATGAACATTGGCATATGTCAGTTGCAGCTCCTGCTTTCAATTACGTGTATTTTAATTATTTGCCAATATTGAAATTGCTGATCCATGTGGTACAGTTGAATCCTAGACCTCAACGCTAATGTGTTCTAGAAGGATGCAATTGAGTTCCGAATCAATTTTTCCCATAAGAAATAACTAATAAGGGATAAATCCATTCTCTACCACCAAGTTTTCTTGCCTTTTTATAGAAAACATTACACAAAAATTTCAAAGTAAATAAGCTCATAGTTAAATAATATAACTTAATTAAGAAACACAACATTAAAAAAAGTTTTTAACAATGACAGTATGGCCCATACCTTGAGATGGATGAGGACCTGGTTCTGTGGCCACGGATGTGGAGGAAAGGTATGGAGGGAGAGTCATTGTTTGGAAGGGGAATCCACTTCCATAAAATCTACTAGTAGCTACTTTTCAGGAGTTTTTCTTTTTCCCTTCTTTGCCTTTTTTCACTAGGACCTGGCTGGTTTTCTCTAACAAACAAACAAAAAACAAACAAAACAATCTGTCTAATATGGTCTGCTATTGGCATTTCCTTAACTGTTTTCTAAAAGGGTTTACTAAATTATCATCAAGAATATCGACAACATGGTTAACCAGTTCCTTATCATGATGATTCTTTTCAAAAAACCTCTTTTTTAGGATCCATGCTTTTTATCTGAAATCAATACAGAAAGTGACAAAAACTAAGAAAACTATACAAAAAGTTTGGAACACAGCCGTAAAGGGTTTAAACAACACTCCAAGTGATGAAACACGAACTGCTTTTATTCACAAACATCACATGTGTCAGGTCAGTTTCCGATGTTTTGTTCAAGCTCGAATTCAAAAATTTCTCAATATCAGATTATGTCAAGTACTGATGCAGTCGACTACCGGGGTTCTACTGTATTTCTCTGATTAACTGATTTAGGAATCCCCAAATATTTTCAACAGTGAGTGTGCCACTTGGCATTCCCACTGATTTTGTATAAATATTCAAATTTCTCCACTCTTGCAAACACTCATTATTTTTTCTTTTTTATAACAGCCATCTAGTGTAAGTTAGGTATTATCTCATTGTAGTATTGACTTGCATTTCTCTAAGATAGCGGTTCTCAACCTGTGGGTTGTGACCCCTTTTGGGGGTCGAACGACCTTTCACAGGGGTCACCTAAACACATTGGAAAACACATATTTCCAATGGTCTTAAGAACCAAGACACTGTTCCGCTATCTATCTCCAATCAGGTCCTCCTACACCCAGATAATGCCCACATATAAGTACCCAGCATAAAGACTTACCCATGCTACAACATGCTTCAAGACAAAATTTCATTTATTTGTAATTAGAAATACATATTTCACAATATATAATTACATGGACTTACTGGCGACTGAGTACCACACACCGGAGGGACTCTGAAGAAATCAGCCCAGCAGAGCTATTAAGAGGGAAATTCAAAACTGCTGAATCACAGGAGAAAAAGCATAAAGATAAGTAGGTACAGATCCACAAGGTTTTGAGGGGCTGGGGGCTTTTGGCTTACTACAGTGGAGGCCGGCTAGGGTTTGACATTAGCCCCGCCACTGTCTTGGCCAGAGCCAGGACCATTTGGAGCCAGTGCAGGGGCTTTATCTCAACACAGCCACAGCTTGCCGCCATCTTGGGGCAGGGATTAAACTCTTGCAGGCCCATGGGCTGGTATCGGGGATCAGCTATATTGTTACATATGTTTCCCTCTCTTCTCTCTATCCCAGAGAAGAGTCAGTCTCAGTAGGCTTAGTCCCCCGCCCCCCTTTGTCCCTTCCCTGTTCTCTCACACTCCACTGCTGACCTCCAGACCACTCTCCTTAGCCTAGGGCATTCACGCCTGTACCTCACCCAATTAGGTGAGCTCCACTCTGTGCAGCATAGCCCGAGACTGGGGAAAGCTGGGCCAACCTCCAGCAGGATCTACTCCCCGCAACTTCTTATGGGGGAATTCCCGCCTGTGTGGCTGGGGGAGTTCCTATTTTTTCTCTGTTGTTCCACATGACTGAGAGAACTTCCTCTCACTTACCTTAGTGTCTCACACAGACTCAGGAAACTCGGCCAACACTCGGCAATGTTCCAAGCTGCTGCAGGAACCTCTGCCCAAACTCCACAGTGATCTACCTGGCCAGGGTAATTCTGCCCACCATTCGCTGTGTTCTACACCAAAGCAGGCAACCCACCAGTCTTATGGGGAACTCCCCTGAAAGGGAAGCCACAGGATGATAAAGTGGTAGGCGAATTTCATAGTGAAATTAGCTGTAGGCAGTTTGAAGAAGCATTCCTACAAGTCTCCCAGAGAGAGCCAGCACTCTTTGACTCCCTAGAAAATGGCACCTGGCTCCTCTTAAAACAATGCAACACAAACAGCCATCAGCCCCAATGACCTCAACGAAAAAACAGGAGCAACAAAAGGCAATGGCAGAAGATGTCCTGAACCTAATGATGTGCATAGAAGAAGCAGACATTGATTTGCCACAGAGAGAAATTTTCAGAATGCTGCTTGTACTCATACAGGATATGAAGAAAACAATACAGAAAAAGGATGAAATGATAGAGGAGATAAAGTCCATACAGAAAAGGTAAATACAAGAGTTTAGTGAGGAGATAACATAAACCAGTAGCAGACTCACAGACCTCAGGAATGGACTGTAGGAATCAGAGAACCACACCAGTGACTTGGAGGACAGCCACGCAGACTTTAACAAACGTGAACAAAAATCTAATAACATCATCAGAGAAGCTGAAGAAAACCTAAGAGCTATGTCTGATGCTTTGAATAGGAACAACAATAGAATTATTGGATTACCAGAGGAAGACACACCAAATAAGTCATCTGCAACAATAGTGAGAGAATTCTTGGAGGAAAACGTCCCCTACTTAAGGAGTGAAAACCAGGCAACCATTTAGGAGGCTGAAAGAACACCAGTTAGACTGAATCCCAAGAAGTCACAAAGGCGCATAATAGTTAAACTGTCCAACCTTGAGGAAAAGGAGAAAATCATGAGAGCAGCTAGGGAAAAGCAAGCAATCACATACAAAGGTTCCCAAATAAGAATATGCACAGACCTATCAGCAGAAACTACGAAGAAGAGGAAGAGAGTGGAGTAACATATTCCAAAAACTGAAGGAAAGCAGAAAACCCAAGAATGCTCTACCAAGTCAATTTATAGATCAAGATAGATGGAGAAGTAAGAGTCTTCCCAGACAAGGAAACACTCAAAGAATATGTTAGCAGGAACTCAGTCCTACAAAAGATCCTTGCCAACCCAGTATGGGCAGAAGGACAACACTCAACAAAGCATAAATAAGAGACCTCCACATAGAACAACCTCACCCAGAGGGCAACAAAGAGAAAACAGATCCCAAGATAGCATTGGCTTCAGGATGGAAAGAAATCAAGAATAATACACACACATGCACAACACACTAATAAAAAAGGAAGCTAGGAAAACACCCAACACCAAAGGTATAAGATGACATCACAGAGTTCACAGATGGGAAATATAACCCTGAATATCAATGGCCTGAACTCAGACATTAAAAGACTGAGGCTAGCAGACTGGCTTAGAAAACACTATCCATCAAGCTGCTACCTACAGGAGACACATCTCAAGGCTATAGACAAAAATAAGCTGAGAATCAAAGGCTGGAGAAAGGTATACCAAGCAAACAGCAATCAAAAATAGCAGTAGTTGCAATCCTAATCTCAGATAAAATTGACCTCAAAGTGCAAACCATAAAAAGAGATAAGGAGGGACACTATATAATGCTCAAGGGAATGGTAGACAAAGAACCATTAAACATTGTAAACATTTATTGCCCAAGTGAGAGACCCACTGAATTATGTCAACCAAACTGTCCAAAAGATGAAAAAAGAAACCACAGCCTCAACAATTATAGTGGGTGACTTCAATACACCGTTCTCTGAGAAAGAGAGATCACAGGGAAAGAAACTCAACAAGGAGGCTACAGATCTAAATACTACAATTAGACAATTTGACCTGATAGATATTTACAGAGCCTTTCATCCAAATAAAAAAAATCATATTTTTTTCAAGCCCGCATGGCACATTTTCAAAGATAGAACACATGCTGGGGCATAAGGCAAATATACACACATTTAAGCACATTGATATGGTACAGAACACTCTCTCTGACCATTGTACCATAAGGCTGGAAATCAACAAAAGGAAGACGAAGAAAACAAGAGCAAACAATTGGAGGATGAGTAACTCTCTATTGCAAAAGGAGTGTGTAGTGGCACAGATCAGAGATGAAATTAGCAAATTTCTAAAAACCCATGATAATGAGAACACGACGTACCAAAACTTATGGGACACACCAAATGCAGTTACCAGAGGAAGTTTCATAGCAATACATGCACACCTAAAAAAGTTTCATGGCAATACATGAACACCTGAAAAAGTTTCATAGCAATACATGCACACCTGAAAAAGACTCATGATTGATATGCTGGCACAAAATTTACAACAACTAAAGCAGAGTCAGTATGACAATCTCACTAATAACAAAAGACAAAAAATAACAAAACTCAGGGCTGAGACTCAGGAGAGGGAAAATAAGAAAAGTATGGGGAAAATTAATGCTGCTAAAAGTTGGTTCTTTGATAGGGTAAACAGAATCGACAGACCACTGGCAAACCTAACCAAAGAAAGGAGGGACCAAATTTCAGTAGCAAGGATGAGGGATGAAACAGGAGACATTACAACAGACCATAATGAAAACAAAAGGATAATCACACAGTACAATGAAGGACTGTACTCCAATGAATTCAACAACTTGGAAGACATGGACAAATACTTGGAAAAACAATCCCTCCCTAGACCATCCCCAAAGGATGTCAAGAATCTCAACAGACCCATAGAAAT